ATTCTTTACTGGTGTTGTATCCGTGCCATTAGCGACGCTGATGGCACTCTTTTCTTAAACTCGTGATTAAGTTTACTTATCATTCCTCAAGTAAGTAGAATAAAGTAAAAGAAAGGTAAAAATGTGCATTATGGATCTCTTGTCATTATAGAAGAATTCTACTACCTAAGAATAAAACATAAATTTCAATTATTTTGAAGAAGGTTTTTGTCATTCTTAGATACTTGATGAGAAATCAATGAAGCCAATAGAGGACAATTCTTTTATTGTAAGTTATTTTTTCAGCAGTATCCTCCCACAACTCTTATGCACAATAGAAACTAATGTACCTGGCCTTCAGAATGACTACGTTATCCGTGATAGAGTTGCGTACCTCTTTGGGGAGCTGCTAATCGATTCCAAGCTAGTGTTTATACTATTTTTATTGCCATCAGATTTGTAAAAGAAGCTGTCTCTTTGTTTCAATTAACCGTTTTTTAAGCATCAATTGTTATTAAACCTTGATGAAGCGCATTCTTGAAAGCTTACTATGAAGATTGACTTAGATTCATGATATGCGTCATGTAAAATACAACGGGATACAGAGTTATGACTATTTAAGAAATTTAAAGTTAAGAAAATCAATGGTTGTCTCTGCTATTCATGATAATAGTATTCATGTTCTAATTCTATATTAGTATTCATTTCATATTTGTTAATAATATGCAGTAGATTCATCTAACTGTATGTCTAATTCACAAGTTATCTACTTTTCCTTCGTAGCATCAATGAAGCGCGATTCCCAGTTCAGTTGGACTTGGCTGTTCATGTGCTACAAACTGGTGAAGTAAGCCAGACTAATAATCACATTAACAGTATGATATATTTATATTTTTACAAAATCTGATTCATCTGATAACCTTATCCTTACTTTAAATGTTTTTTGAGATTTTCTCTTTTTGACATTCCATATGCTTGTGCTTTCGCAGATTAATTCAAACGCATTATTAAAGATGAAAAGACGAAGCAATATATATAGTCAAGTAGGCAGAAAATACATCAAAATAGTTAAATACATCAGAAACTGATTGAGTGAGTCCACAAAACCGCAGTCATATTTCCACACACACTCACACAATCACACAGACACAGATGTAACCCAAAAGGGAAAAAGACGGAATTGTTGTTTGTTTTGATTTGAATTATGCCAGGCTTTTTCAGTCAATAAGCGTCGTTAGTTCAGGGTTTGCAGTGGTCCCCGTTGAACACTATAGCTGGAGAAGTAACAGAATAATTATTTTTAGTCCTACTGTAGTCTTCCGTCATACTTATATGAGTGTCACGAAACAGGCACTATCTGAGTAAGCAAAGTATTTATTCTGTCCATTTATTTAGCCACATGATTGTCTCATGATTCAGTCAGCCTGCCAGATTCGATAGAATAATCGGTCAATTTTTACTTTCTAAGTGAAAAACCACTTATCCCTTTCTTAGCACTAAGTTCTAGGTATAATAAAACAGTTATCGCATTCCAGTGTCGAACTGTTATCTTTTCATCTATGCTATAAAATCTCACGATTAATGCGGACTAGGTAAAGGAAACAGTAAGAAGTTATCTACATTATAATTATTGATTAATTAGTATAAACACATTATGCCAAGGTTTTTTGTATTCGTGTTTTGTTCAACTTTACAGAAATAAACTCTTGTTTCCACTTTCCCTCTTTGCGTTTTTCTTGTTTTTGAATTATGAATCTAGCATAGAATAACTTTTAATGCTTGAATAATTAATAGATAAAGTTGTTTGTTTGCATTCCCCCGCCTTATCATTTCTCTTATCGTGCTTTGTAAAGGAAGAAACACTACATATTTGTATCTGCATGTGTTTGGTTTATTGATATTATAATATTCAATCATCTTTTTTTTCACCTACTGATAATAATTGTTGCGTTCTCTTGATACACTTCCTACCTGTACATGTTATTCTATTCTCTGTTAATCAACTTGTTTCAATTTATTTGTTATTGTTAAATGCGCTAACCTGCTGGAGTTAAATACTTCTGCTGCTGATGATTATGATTATGGTCACAGCAGGAGAGAGAGGGGTGGTGGTTGAAGGATGCTCAATAAACACCCTAATTTGGAAGATGCTTCCAATTATTTCAGTTTGGACACTTTTCTCCATGCTCTTTCATTAACATCCTATTTTTATAGGTGTCTCTCATATTACGCAACCCTTGTCAATACTTACCAATGTTCACCCCCTCCCTAGTTACACTTTGATTTTTCATTACACTTGAAAGATTTTGATAACGTAAACAACAACCCTAACTAATTTTTTGTTTGACAATCTTAATATACACACATACAATAGTTATATATAAATGTAATTGTTTAGTTAAGTGACTGAATTCGCTGCCGAAAAGAGACTCTTCGCTGAACTTTTTGTTCCTTATATTTCAGCTTGGCTGCGTTTTAAGCATTGATTACTGGGAAAATGTTAATTAATCGGTGTTGCGTGAATCAGCGTTTACTGAACTATTTATCTTCAAGATGGTCGTGTTTGCCTACAGCCATTAAATGTTTCCTGTTGATGTTTTTAGTGCTCAAGGCAAAGCAATTTAATTATTTGTATATTTCAGTTGATTTGATCTTTTTCTTTCTATTGAACAACTTCAGAGTTGAATGTAGTGACTCCAATGTTTTCTATTTGTTCTGCTCTTATTTTTAGTGTAAAATTAGTCATGTGATAAGTCCACATGGTTATGACATAAGCAAGAAAAAAAAATCATAACTTTTGGAATTACCTTATACTGCATTTTTGAATTTATGCTATTGGGATGTACGATGATTATTTCAATTTTTAGCAGACCTAGCTTTCATTCGCTGCCTACTTCATTAACTCACAAACCCAAAAATGTCTGAGTATTTTCGACTAAATCTACTTTTCTTATCCGTATCACTATCCAACTAAAACAGCAAGGGGTAAAATGGATTGGTTGCATGTTAATCAGTGTTACAGTTTATTGGCATTCACTTTTAAGCCAGTGAAAATGCATTAAAAAAATTGAATGTCTATCTTTTTCAACATATTTTTTGCTAACTAGGTGTATTAGATAGCCGGATGAAAATTTTATGTTATTCACATGTCTTCTATACTTCATGAATCCCACTGTTGATTTTGACTTTGCTAAAGAATCGCAGTTTATTCACAGATTTAATACATCATCTGTTAAATAACTGGAACTCAACCAGACATGGTGACACTAAAAAGAGCAGAATTTTACTGTAATTCGGAGTATTTCATCAATGTTACAGTAAAGTTTTACGTCATAAGGGTCAGTGTGTCGTGGGATTTCTTCTCCCATTTTACAGTCTGACAAAATCTACGCATAAGAAAAGTATTTTTCTGGGATTCGTACAACATCTTCGGTTGCCGTTATTTATATATTTTAGTACTGCATTATCATATTGCAGCTAGTTTCGGTAAAGACATAGACCAGAAGTTTTTCATATAGACTAAACAGATTGAATGAAATGTTGTGTGTTCGACCTAGGATAATTCTGCTTTGAAGAAATAGCTGTGAAAAAAAGTTTTAAAATGACAGTCATTTACACTTAGCGGCGTTTGAATGTGTAGTGGGTGATGAGTTGAACCAGAGATCTCCGGCTTGCGAACCCCTACTCTCTACCAGTTTGGCTACGAGAGCATCATTCGACTGCAACCGTCAAAACTAATGCCAAGATGTAATGTTAATTAATAGTGTGTGCGTGTGCATTTACAGTGGGTTCTTATTATGTGTATTATTATTTATTGATTTTTTCTTTTGATTACCCTAATAAAATAAACTAGCAGACTGTGTTAATATTTTCCTCTCTTTTCTCTAGTCCCTGAATGTTAATTGTAATGGCAGTAATAATAACAATGATGCTTATAATAAAGTTGATAAAACTGTAAGTCATCAAAAATTTCTAGTGTTTTATTTATCATACAGTATTTACACCCCCCCGCCCCTTAAAATCTAAACTTCATAAAACTCATGATAATGATAATGATATTTTTTCCTGTCTCTCTGACCTGTTTAACCTAAATCACTTACATATGATTAAGTAAATAGAGATAATGGCGAGAAAGGCAATGTATTTTTCTTCGTTTTTCTTAAATGTCTTTCAATATGAAGATATCAATCGTACTATTCATACGCGGAGGTAATGTCTCACTACATTTGTTAAGCTGATGTTGAAATTAAAGGAATTAACCGTATTTGATACTCATAGTCAACAAGCTTTGAGATAGACTGGGTGAATTTTTCAACTGAAAATGGAAATCTGTATGGAAAGCTTTTACCTGTGAATGAATGAAGGTATCTGCGCGTTGTACGCTGACCGTGCTACCTTAAAAAGCATCTGAAGGTCAGAGAAATGCACCAATGAATTCCAGTGATGTAGTAACTTACCTTTTTTCGAAAGTGGTCATTGTTTCCAGCCCTCTGACTGCCACCAACGGATCATCGGCAAAAAGTGAAAAAAGTCACTAGTTCGTATTATTTTGTTTTTTCAGTTTACCAATTGATACTAACCAGCGAATTGTTTTTGTTTCGTCCACATTCCTGCTGTTGTTTCTAATTTCAATGATCACACTACTTTTAAAACTGTTTCAGAAAAGTAGATAATTATGAAAAACAAGGTAACCAATTTTTAGTTGTTTAGCTTGTAAACTGATATTTGTCAGCCCACGCATATTTTTTCTAGACGACTGGCTTTCTTGCGTGTCGACTTAACGTTTGTAGTCAAGATACAGGAAGGATTCGAAGGGACATTCACAGGATGTTTATTATCTTATCATCTTGGAATTCTAGACTTATTTTAAGATATCCACGATAACTGACGAAGGACTAGTCGTCATACTCTCCGTCACGACTTTCATTTTCCCTTCTAGACGTTATATCTAATTAACTAATCATAGAGGCTAAAGAATAAGGTAGGTATGCGCGGGTCCTCAATATACCTGAATATCTTTTTTGGGATTTTCAAATCATTCTGAACGACTGTTGTTTAACAGCATAGACAGTACTTGTAGATTGAGTTCAAAACAAAATAAGGACAACAATTTAGACGTTTAACTGCTTACGTCATGTTTTGTTTGTCAGGTATAAAGTAAATTTCATCTGTATCTACTTGTCTAACATTTACGTAATTTAACTCTTCTGTTCACATCTGTTTTTGTTTTCAAAACTACAACAACAACATCAATAACAACATCTTTAATTATAATAATGATAACAACAACAATAATAATAATAATTCTTGCAATCACTCTCATATGCACGAAACACAAAACCAATTTAGCTTGAAGAGGATTTAGACCCTGTATGGAAAAGTCGTTCTATTCTTTGTATGCCAATAAAACAGTCTGATGGTAAGGTATTAGCTGTATGTATTATCACCAATAAGTCAGCTGTTGACTGGAGAATAAACAGTGGGATTGAAAAATTCCCTCAATCTTTCGGTATTAAATCAACAATGTCGAATAATGTTTATCACCCTTTAACAAAATCACACGAGAAAGAAGAGGGAAAAGAAGAAAGTGAATTGTTTTCATCCGTTATTGATTGGTCTGGAATATTCACTCATTCCGATGAATTTTTATTTGAAGCATTTGCCTTGTTTATTGGTTTGGGTATATCAAATAGTCAGTTATATGAAAAGGCTATACGAAGTGCAGCAAAACAGAAAATTATAATGGATGTTCTATCGTATCATGCTACAGCGCCAACATCTGAAGCAAAACGCCTAGCTACATCATTGATACCAACAATGAGATTTTATCACTTGGATAAATTTTCATTTACTGATGTGCGGTAGGTTATAGTAATTGCAATTGTCGTTTATACTGTTTGATGATATTCGTTGATTTTTGTGCTATACTATTTAGTCTTCTTTTGTTAAGTGTAATTTCGTGTTCCTTATTGCCTTTACTATGATCATTGACAATGCGCATAAGTAGCTGGTGAATGAATCGTGCTTACACAGTATTTCTCTTCGTACCATAGTGCAAGATACATAAATTTAAAATATAAACTTGGTATGAAATGGACATCGAGAAAAGCGCCTAACAAAATTTTATAAATCTACAACATGGGGGAAAAATGACAAAATAATAGAGAAACAACAGAACAGAAACAGGTAATCATACTTATCAAGGGCGATTATTGTTGTTGCTTATTGTTTCCAGAAATAACACGAAAAAAGTGAATTCCAGCATGTTCACCTTGGATTTTGACTCTGATAATGTTATGACCCTACACAAGTTGCATAATAACTCGTATGTCACCCGGGGAATCGTGACTCAACAGTGGATGCTGATTAACCACAACTATTCCGCAGTCGATACTGTCGTATCACGTGCTGATCACCTCGTCACTTTTTTTTGTCAGTCTGCCGGCTGCTAAGCAACAAAAAGTATAAAATAACTTAAATAACTTTGGTGCCGCACTCCTCAGTTCACCAAAGGCAGTGTTTTAAGGCAAACTTACCTCAACTCAAAGATGTGAGACGTAAAGTAAAACTAAATTGATTAAAGATGCCCACTGGGAATTTCAAAAGATTGATTACTGAACAAAGAATATTCTTTTAGATAACTTCTTCATCAGGTTCTACAGTTACATATCCATAATAATGAAAGAATTATTGATATTGACAATATGAATTTTTTTATAGGTAATATCGAATCATTGACGTCAGAATTCCAAAAGTTTGATGATATTAGATAGTTGGAGGCAATCGGCAGGAAGCCTTGGACCTAGGTTTCGTGCTAGTTGAAACTCATCAGTAAGGTGCATCTGCAACCTTGAAGGAACTCGTGTCCCTTCTGAGATTTGAACCCGCGTCACCCAGTGCTGCAGTCAGAGACGTTACCACTGAGCTATTCGGGCTCGCGATTGAAACTAAATTCGCCGAAGAGTTGTGAGCCCTACCTTTGGTATTCAAATCGACATGGCGACTGTGTCATAAATGACGAATTACCCCGTGGCTTTTGCTACAAGCTTCACAATTTCATCTTTCATACCAACAACATATGCACCTAAGGAGATACACTAATTTCTTGGCTACTACTAATCATTGACCCTCTAGTGTGAGTTTGGGTACAGGCAAACGACAATATTTTGTATTTGATACAATCGATATACATGCTAACTGACATTTATTCCAAAAAGATAAGTTGAGATTTAGGTAGTGTGTGTGTTATCACCTGCATACTTACGATCAGATAATCACCACTACGTACATCCTTGAACATTCCGTCGATGATGGAGTTTAAAAGAATTGATTAGTTACAGGATTTCATCATGAGCTGACATCAGTTAGAAAACTATTGGAAAACCTGGGAGTACTGGATAGCTGTTTCGTCCTTGTTTGGGATTGTTCATCACTACGCACCTGCCTGGGTCCGAACTCAAGACTTTTCGGTTACAAGGCAAGTTCATAGACCATTAAGCCACTGGGACCCTATCCAACGGCCCACATAACCAGAAGGTTCTGGGTTCTGACCCCAGTTGGTGTCTACTGATGAACAGTGCCAAACTAGGACGAAACAGCTGTCCAGTAGTCCCAGGTTTCCCAATGGTTCTCTCACCGATGTCAGCTCATGATGAAATCCTGTAAATAATCTAATCAAATCCCTGCAAACCAACACTTAAAAAGAATTGTTGAAACAGTGCAAATCTGTTTAGCTTCAATGCTGGTTGAAAATAGCGGCAATGACAGATGGTTGTATGCCATCGCAGTAGATGAGATGTAATTGTGTAGCGCTTTTATAATGTCGAAAAACTGACTAGTGACTTCACTATCTAACGGACAGTTGTTTCTAAAGTACAGTCCTATTTAGTGAGTCAAAGGTAGCGTTAGTATCAAGAAAAAAGTGGGATGGTTTTCTAACATGTAGTTAGCGGCGATTTAATACAATCAGTACATTCGAAGCCTACACGAACCCCAATTCGCTCCTCGTGAATTGATTCTCCACTCATTTTAAAGTGTGTAGACCTCGACAACAGCTTCACTATCGTTATATAGGTACTGTTTGGTTTCATGAACTATTCTCCGGGATGAAATGATTGGTGTCAGTAAATTGCAAGGAACTTTGAGTGAAACAGTATTTATTGACATGACGTCCTTTTAAGCCGCAAGTGATGTTACTCGCCATCTTCATGGTGGCTTATAACTGCTGCTAGTGACAATCTGTTTTGCTGAAAAGTCAGAGATATTGGTATTTGGTTGCACTTCCAAGTTCAGTCGATTTGCTTACTTTCACCTGTTTGCATTAACGTTTATAATGACTGCGAAATTAAAAGGGATACCTGTGTAATCTGTATGTTTGAGTTGCAAACAGTGGGTGCCAGGTAGCATCACAGCATATTTTAGTGTAGGCTAGGCATAGATTACGCTTTGTGGAAAGCTTCAGAAGACAGCTGGCGTTTCCTGATCTTTGACTATTTATTCCCCATCGACTCTTATGTGAACCTAGACACTCGATGTATGCAGTCAAGATCACTAGAATCCATCGTTACACAGGGAGAATTGACAAAAACACAATGGTTCCGTGGTCAATCGCTTAGTCAATTGCTTCTCAGGCTATCCTAACAGCACATAAAAAACTGTTTATGGGGGTCTGGTAGAGCGATGCTGCTTTGACTGGTGCATTGACACTTATTTTTATTATTTCCTTGGGTTCTGAGTGGAGTATAGGGCTTCAGCAGCACATCTCCACTTTGTTCTGTTCCCTACAGTTCTCTTCATCTGTCCACATGATTGCCCATAAGCTTTCATCTCTTCCTCATATGGTCTCCTCCATATTACCTGCGTGCGCCCAGCTCGTTGTTCCCCACTCGAGCGCCTGGAGCTTGATGTCACTCAACAGTCTCCTCAGAGTGTGTTTCCATCCTCATTTTATTCGGAATATTTGTTGAGCAGTAGGTCCTTAATTAGTTCGTTCCCAGAGTTTCTTGTTGCTAATTCCTTCTGGCCATCTGATTTTCAGTATGAAGCCAAAGCAACCATTGTACAAGGCAAACTTTGGTCTTGAACAATAACCGGCAACGAGAGGTTAAAATAAAAGAAGACGTTTTGTATTCAAGTGTTGGTTTGTAGGGATTTGATTGGTTACAGGATTTTCATCATGAGATGACATTAATTAGAGAACCATTAGAAAACCCGGGAGTATTGGACAGCTGTTTCGTCCTATTTTGGGATTCTTCATCAGTACGAACCCACCGGGAATCAAACCCAGGACCTTCTGGTTACATTAAGCCACTGGGACCTGTGGAGTGCAGCAGGTCGGGTGTGAGGACAAATAATCACTGAAGACACTGGCTAGCGGTTGCGCTATATCGTGAATTGGCAGAAGTTAGAATTCATGGGCCATTGGATCGGGTCCCAGTGGCTTAATGGTATACGAGCTCGCCTTGTACCCAGAAGGTCCTGGGTTTGATTCCCGGTGGGTGCGTACTGCTGAAGACGTTTTGTATTTGAAGATAATTATAAGGATATAACCATAGTGACTGGAATGGTTGAATATCACATTCATGAATTAGCAAATGAAATAGAAATAGGTTGTCGGATCATATAGTTGAGTTATTCTTTCCATTGAATTACTGTTCCATATTTCGTATGACTTCTAACTTGCTAATTCACACTGGTTCATACGCTGGTTCATCATTCCAGCTGCTATAGTGTATGTGAGCCATCGGTTTTGAATCACGATTTTCCAGTTCTCATAGATAAATTCTTTATGTTCACCAATCCTGTGACCAGCTACAAAAAGGTGTATTTACTGTTTCACCCTTTGTAAGAACACTCCAACGCTGCAAGAAGGAAGTGATTAGCACTTATCAGTTGGAGGCTATGAACACGTTACCAAGTAGGAGGTTTTATAGAAGAATGAAGTCTACCCACTGCCAACCGTACAGTGTCATTCGTAGGGGAGGGGTTATACAACATTGATTATTTATCACTGATTGGGTTCTGTGAAATGTTTCTAACCAGTGATGGTACACTTGAGTTTGGATGTCCTCATCTTACAGCCTACACAAAATACTGAAATTTCTTTCGTTCCGCTTCAACATTTCTAAATCTAATTCATTTTTGATTTTATTTCTATCATTCCCTTTGTAAGCAGATTCTGCGCTCTATCTGTTCTCGAGTAGTTACTTTCCCATACAGCCAACGTATGTATCAAACTCTAACTTTGTATCTATATAGTTTGTGCTGTTAAGATTGTCTTGTTCAAAGTGTTGCAAGCTCTCTGTGTCTTTTTCGTTAAGCATATAATTTTAATTATCAAAAGTTTTTATTAAGAAAGATTTCTTCTCATTGTCGTCTCGGTACTTGTTTCTCATTGATAAACCTTTTTCTACATTGGAATAGAATTCGATACAATGCCATTATTACACAGCGAGACGTTAGCTGTAAACTTGAAAACAATCCAATCTTATCAATTTGTAACAAACATATCTTGTGTAGATTTAGTGTATCAATCAAACATGATAAGCATGTGAATAATTATGTTTGTAAATTTATTTTTTGCCTTTTCAATTTCTCATCATTATCATCATAACCATCATTTTGTTGTTCTGAATTAAATCCAAATTGTTTTGATTCGCCTATTATTAATTTACTTAAAAACAAAATGTTAATTTCAATGTAGTTTTCTTCACTAACTGAAATCAGTTGGAGTATTTTTGAAAACCGGACCTTAGGTGGGCCACACAGGACGAAACAGCTGTTCAGCACTACATGGTTTTCAATGATTCTAACTGACGTACGTTGTTTGTTGACGAATTCTACATTAAAATTAATCGAACTTCCTAAAGTCACTCTCCCCCGCCGCCCCTTAAAAATTTTTTTTAAAAGTCATATTAGGCATATTAGGTATGTGCAATTTAATCTGCTCCGTATTGTGTGCTTGTCAACACACTGAATTCAAAATCAAAGAGCAGTTTTCGCTCTCCTCATATTACGCGCATTATTCTACTGCAAAGCTGGACAGGGTAAGCTGGGAGAAGGTGTAACTAAGCATTAAGGTAGCATCGTGTTAGGTTGAAATTACCGAGTCATTACCAAGCCTAACATCATTTTCAAGTGTTGGTTTGTAGGGATTTGGTTGGTTACAGGATTTTCATCATGAGCTGACATTAGTTAGAGAACCATTGGAAAACCTGGGAGTACTGGACAGCTGTTTCGTCCTAGTTTGGGACTCTTCATCAGTACGCACCCAGTACGCCATATTCAGGTAGGTAGTTACCTGGGGTTCTAGTGAGAAATCGTGACCAGCAGGGTGCAGCAGGTCGGGTATGAGGACAAATACTCGCCGAAGACATTGGCTAGGGGTCGCGCTATGTCGTGAATTGGCAGAAGTTAGAATTCATGGACGATTGGATCGGGTCCAAGTGGCCTAATGGTATACGAGCTCGCCTTGTAACCAGAAGGTCCTGGGTTCGAATCCCGGTAGGTGCGTACTGATGAAGAGTCCCAAACTAGGATAATGTAAACAGCTGCCCAGTACTCCCAGGTTTTCCAGTGGTTCTCTAACTAATATCAGCTCATGATGAAAATCCTGTAACATCATTTTGTTTCGGCTGTCACCTTGCAAGTTATTCCATATGGGGTCTGATGCCGATTCAACTAGAAAAAAGTAAATGCAATGCTTCAGTTAATCTACATTGTAACTGCTTTGATTTATCCTTTTTACAGCCAACTGGCATGCATAATATTTTGTTAATGTGTTACTATAAGAGTCTTTGGAATTCACTAGTCTTTTACTTATAGTCTGTGACATATCTACGGTTATGTGATTGTATTTGCAAGCAACAAAAAAAAACAGTTGGCAAATTCTTTCTCCACACTTACACTTGATACAGTCATTTTTAAAAGCAAAAAAATGATAGACATTTACTCTCTCTCTATTAATTTAACTGATTTTGTCAAACTGTGTTAATTATTAAAGTACATTATTGTGTGTCTTTTTTACACCTTCAGGCATATACATATTTTATGAGATAGGAGTTATTATGATTAGTGGGTCAGACTGATTATTAGTTAGTATCTGCATGATTGTTTTTTATTTTTCGCAACAAATCATTTTTCATCTCAATTTTTGCAAGAGATTGTGATAGATAGATAGATACTATAATAACTACTACTACTACTACAACTGTACACATTTTAGATTATCCGATGAAGATACACTGAAGGCGTGTATTCGAATGTTTCATGAAATGAATTTCATCAAATCAATACACTTTGATCTGCTATCATTCGCTCGTTGGCTATTGTCTGTGCGTAAAAACTACCGTGAAGTTACCTATCATAATTGGCGTCATGCATTCAACGTGACTCAGACAATGTTTTGCATGTTATTGGTAAGTGAAAATAGCTGGTGTGTGTGTGTGTGTTAAAAACAACCTAGCAATTTATTACTATTTAGTTTAACTGATTCTTTTCTTTTTTCTCTCTACTCCCTTTAATTGTTTTGAACTTCAGGAATCTATATTTTTGCTTGATGACGCAATAGTATAACAAGTTAAAGAGTATCATAATAATGTATTTTGGCGGTTATTAAATGAAGTAGATGTTTTTTTTATAATATTCCGAAAATATTCATTTTGTTTTCACTGTTTTACAGTTATGAAAGTGTTCAGACAGGATACAAGTATAATAATAATTCATTACCCTTAAAACAATATTTAATGTTAAGTAGACACTGATATCTATCGTCTGATAGGTAAATCATTGCAGTAGTATATCATATTCGTTGTTAGCTGACTTGGTTAGCCTTTCTAAATTTCGTGTATGTGAACCACATGTCTGTTAATAATTATCACTAGAAGACTTCTACAGATTCTGCACGAGTAGTGTTCTTTTATCAAAATTTAATTTTCTCAGCTGCTTCAACACTAAGAAATTCCCCTGAGTCTTTTTTTAGGTTTCGCCTGCACTTCGGATTGTGAGGGCTATTGTTACTTCCCGGTTGCCCACACCGTGGGAGTTGGTTGCGTGACCGCAGAGCCCAGGGGACAACTGCTTGAGGCCGGTCACACACGGCCTGTTTTTGTTTGTTCTTTTTTATTTGGTGTGTCTCAATAGCGTATTTATCACTTCTGCTCTGTGACACAGCAGCATAAAGCGCGGTCGTTGTTAATCCGGGCCCCGACCGATCCGGCATGATATTTTGTGATTTATTTGAAATCATAGCATTGGATTGGGTAACTGATTTTAGTCTAACTGCTATCCAAACAACCTTTCTGGCATGGTAGGACCTGCAGGAACATAAGTTCCAGCCAGCATAGCTTGTTGGGTCATTGCAGTGTTCAAGCCCAACCACCACGTCAAGGTAGCAGCTTTTGGTCGGGGCCATTGAGAGCAGAAGACATGAAAAGATTAGCTGTCTTCGATCATAGGTGTCTGCGTTCTATCTCCCGCGTGAAGTGGTATAATAAGGTGAGCAATATTGAGGTTAGGCGTCGAGTGCTAGGTAAGGCGGGGAAATCAATCGACGAAACGGTGAAATTACTTCGACTGAGATGGTTAGGACATGTGCTACGTATGCCTAGTCATCGCCTTCCTCGACGGGCAATGTTAGCTGATATAGGGCCAGACTGGAAAAGGGCTAGCGGCGGTCAAACGAAAACATGGCACCAGTCAATGAAATCCACAACAGTTAGTATAAGCCACGTAGGAAGATGTAGACTTCCTGGTTGGGGTCCTCGGGATGGTAAAAACCAATGGTTGGAAACAATTGGTGACATGGCTCAAAATCGTTCTCAGTGGCGCAGATGCATCCACTCCTTGTGACTTATGATTTCCAATGAAACTGTATTGTTCTTCGTTATTACTATTCCTTTGTCTCACACCTCTGTTTACTGTCTCTAATATGCATTTCTCCTAATTTCTTCTCTTGCTTTGTGTGCTATATGGAGTGTGGCGACTTGAACTGCCGCACATATGTGCAAAGTTCTATGTCGAAAACCGACCGACCGACCGACCTGAGTCTTTTTAAACCCCCTTCAACAGATATATGATGGTACCACATACCAAGTGATTCACAACGGAAAACTCAGCAAATCCTTTGAAGGGAAATCAGGAAGGAATTAGGAAAGGCTGCCTACTGTCACTGATGGTGGACTGAATTATGATGCAACAGAGTGTGCAAAGCGAGAAAACGGGAATAGGTTAGATAGACAAAAAGACACTGGCAGATCCAACCTTCTCTGATGATTTATGCATAATTTCACATAACCGAAGATCTAGAGGCGAAAACCAATAAGTTGGCTGAAGAGGCTGACAGCGAAGACAGGATTCCTAGTGCATACAGAGGTAACAGTGGTGATGAAGATACCTAACCGACAACAACAGACATCAGTCACCATCAACGGGAAAAGTCTAGACGAATTCACACCTTTCACTTACCTAGTCAGCATCCTTTCAACTACAGGCGGGGGATATCAAAGACAGGATGCCAAAAGCAAGACAAACCTGCCTTACTCTGAAATCAGTGTGAAAATCTGCAGCACTGAGCATAAGGAACAAAATTTGAATTTTAAAGACAGTCAGTACTCCTATATGGCTCAGTGTCATAGATATTATTACCAATAGGCTACAGACTTTTATAAAGATCTGCCTTCACCCGATACTGAAGAAGAGATCACTGGCCGCAAGGAGTAATCAACAATGAACTGTGACCAAGAACCTATTACACAACAAAAACGCAGAAGGAAATGGAAATGGACTTTGGGCATCAGGTGAGAAAGCTTTTGAGTGACATCCTGCGGTTGGTCATCAGCTGGAAGCCGAATGGGAAATGACGAATTTGGAGTGGATCAGATTGTGACATGGAGAAGATCGTGTTAGGAGAAGATGGAAGCTTATGGACAACTGTGAAGCCAGCTCAAAGTGACTGCAATTAGCAGAGTGAAATGGTGATACGCTGCTAAAGACCTATGTTCTACTCGGAATTCAAGGAAATAATAACAATAAGTTTCTCAGCTGTGATGTGTCAACTGCGGGAACAAGATTCGTTTAGGTTTAAGTAACTCATAATCATAAGTAGAATTTTAAGATGCCTTTATGTTGCCTGTTTGCTTCTTGACATCAACATAAGATGGTCTTAGTGTTTGTTGTGTAGATGTCTGCCTTACATGAGCCTAAAATTCGTGCATGCCTATTTAGTACAGGAATATCTTTAGAATTCAGATTCATACAGACCAACGAATAAATCGTGAATGGCAGTATATTACACATGCTGGAAACATCGACTGACTGCAGTACAATTTTATTTCATGAATTAGTCATAAACTCATTTATATCTGTAGAGATTATCTGTCTAACGTTAAATTTTACTTATGTTATTCTTTAAGCGCTTTAGCGTAGAGGATACTGATATTATTTATAGGTTTTGCATTCTGCTTCTAAATGAGAATTGTAAGTTGTCCTTGAATGATATATATATATATATATACATATATATATACTTCAAATACCGAAGTAGATTTATCTGCAATAGACTTAGCTTTCTCGATTGTCCTCTACTATGATTAATGTCCATAAATTTTGACTAACGGTTGAATAGATTATGAAAAAAGCAGAATTACTGTCTTTGGATTTTCTCAGTGTTTTGTCTTTCTTTTTATATTTGCTAAATTATGATTGTCTTTTTTTCTTTTTGAAAATAAGCTCATTCTAGTATTACAGGCAGTAGTTCCAATGAAAGTATAAACATACTATGTAGGTATTTGGAAGCCTTAAGCACTTTGTCACTGGCTAGTCTGATGGTGTAATTGTAACTCATTCAAATAAATATATCTCTGCAAAAAATTAATAAAACTTATTTCGTACTTAAGATAGGATTGTTATACTTGTGCAGCAACCTATTATACCTGGTTTGTATTCACTTCATGTTTCAAAAGTGCTTGTGTTTGTAATATTGCTGGATATTTTCTCTGCAAATATTCAATATTACATCTAAATTCTTACTACAACATAATTACTTAATTCAGTACATCCGTAACCTGTAAAATTAGTTAGTCAAGTACACCATCGTAGAGTAATATTCGGTGAAGAACAGAATTGTTCTGCGTTAAAACTAATGCAAGGATTTCTAAGTGACGTTAATTTAAGTCTGAATAATAGGCGTTTCAAAAGCTGTATACGGACATATTTTCTTGATATCTGTAAGTATTTTCTATTCACACTTAAGCATATTAAGTTGTTTTTGTTCAGTCTTTACCGTTTTCAAGTATTGGTTCGTAGGGATTTGGTTGATTGGTTTCAGGATTTCATCATGAACTGACATTGGTTAGAGAACCATTGGAAAACCTGGGAGTACTGGACAGCTGTTTCGTCCTGGTTTGGGACTCTTCGTCAGTACGCACCCACCGGGGTTCAAACCCAGGACCTTCTGGTTACAAGGCGAGCTCGTATACCATTAAGCCACTGGGACCCGATCAAATGGCCCGTGAATTCTAACTTCTGCCAATTCACGATATAGCGCAATCGCTTGCCAAAGTCTTCGGCGAGTATTTGTCCTCAAACCCGACCTGCTGCACCCTACTGGTCACGACTTCCCACTGAAACCCCAGGTAACTGCCTACCTGAATAGGGCCAGTCGCCAGTGAGCATCTCATTCATATTCAAGTATTGGTTTGTAGGGATTTGGTTGATTGGTTACAGGATTTCATCATGAGCTGTTTTGATATATTCAATTTCACTTGATACCAGTAAGATTTAGGCTGTTGCTGTTCAATTCGTTGGTATGTTTACGTATCACACAAATCTTTATTTGACCGTAAGTCATGTTAAACTATCGACTTTGGTTGATTATGCGGGTTTCAACCCGACTGTCTTAGTATTTCTCCCACTTGTTGATGTTACCTGCTTTTTAAGTCACTTTCTTACTCGATAATTAATATGACTTACAGCATCTGTCCATTGGATCAACATTTAGAGTTACATACAAAGATACTAGGCATTCCTGAGAATCCCGATTTGCGAAATTTGTAGAATTTTTGCATCCAGATTTCATGCTTTTTAGCATTCATTGATGAAACTTCTCGAAAACTTATGGGGAACGGAATTGCAAAAATATATGCAAGATACGAAGGGAACTTCTTGAACGCTACTGTTAGTGTGCATCATTTAATTCTTAACATTGGTGTAATAACGCAAAAACATCTTAACGAGTAAGTCATAGTGTATCCTAAACTTTATGAATGGATGTGTGAGTAGGTCAAATTAGGAACGTGTGTACTACAATAAAGACACTTATGAAGGAGATCCGAATTGTGTATTTTGCATACTGTACGTCAGTGGCACAGCGCTTATGACTCTCGCCAATCATGCATATGGTCCGGGGTTCGATCATCTGCCGCCGCACACCTGATATCTATGGTCGGCCTGCAAAATTTGGACTACCGATATCACATGCTGAAAATTCCATACCTGTACCAAAAAATGCGGTGTGGAATCAAGCTGTAATAAAAAAAACCAAAAATTATTAATTAATCAAAGTGTCTCTAACGTCTCGATAAATTTTTAATACATAGAGTATCCTGATATCCTGACTGGTATAGGTAAGCTCACCAAGTGTTTTAAGCCTCACTAAGCTGTTAAAATACAAAGGTAGAAGAATTCATTCCATTGAACGTGTGTCAATATTTATGCTTTTCTAGCTCATAGAACAAACTGGAATGGATATCCTCTTGAGCATCTTTGGGATAGAGAATTCATCTGGAAAATGTGAAGCACTGGTGCAATATGTTTCAAACAAATGGGATCATGTTTTTATATTAAATCAATCTATGTAAAGATGTAGATATTGTTTGACTTCTGTTTCTCTGTAGCATTGAACTTATTGGACTTTAGATTCAATCCACATAGGGTTGTCGTACTAAGCAAAAGTAGCCTCTGTATGGTGAAGCAACTCCAGTATCAATAATTAAAAATTTCAATTCTTAATGAAATTAACTACTGATCAGGATTGAAGATAATTATTTATCTAATGTCAGGTGGTTTGAAAATGCACATTGTGTGCTTACCTTTATTCGGAATGTCAATCAAATTCAAATGTCACCTGATACAGAGGGATTTCTGTCCACTTATTTGTTACTTTTCTAATTATTTTTTTTCTATTTAGATTGACGAAATTTTGCTTTCACTGCCTACTGCAATGTATTAATTAATCCTTTTAGTATAGTTGCATAGCTTACTACTGTTTTCAACTACCTTTGTTCTTGTTACCTTTTAAAAATCTTCCTTTATCTACATTGTTTTTCCCTTCCTTTCTAGAAAGGTGATTTTCAGTCGGTATTCACAGACCTTGAATGTTTAGCTCTTTTAACTGCTTGTTTGTCGCATGATATCGATCACCGTGGTACCGACAATCAGTTCCAGATTAAAACAATGTCTCCTTTGGCCAAATTATATTCAACTTCAGTGCTTGAACATCATCATTTCAATCAATTCATGATGATACTGACGATAAAGGTAACTAGTGTGTATTTTGGTCAGTAGTTATGTGATATAATGCCCAATTTGTTTTCTAAAACTCTTACTGTTATTAGTAGTTAGTATAATATCTGTTAAATACACTTCAGACCTATTGGTTATGCTAAATTGATGGCCTAGTTCAGATTTGCGTCTCGTAGTTTAGCTGCCAAAGTGATAAGCGAGTAAACCAGAAACCACTGGTTCGAGTCCTACCACGACTTATGTCATCGTTTCACCTTTCATTGACCTTCTGCCATTCTTAGTCTTGCTCAAACAGTCTCATGCAGACGTGTGTTTTTATTTAGGCATTTTGATTTGTGCTCTTGTGTTTATGCCATCAATTATCTCATCACTACATGGATTCTCCACAATAAGTGGATACATCGTTTAGAATTCTATTTATTTACTTTTCATTTGCTACATGAGTGAAGTGCTTGGTATGTTCGCGAATTTCTTCAATAAGTGATGGAAATTGAATGAACGCTGAAAAGTGATTACAGTGTGGTTAAAGATCATGTGACACCGAGTGTTAAATTCGCTTTAGGCATTTTAATGTCCCACTGCATATATATATATCCTTTGTATAAGTGAAACACAGTTCATTGAGTCTAGTTAGAAACGATGGCAGCAGTTTGTGCCAACTTCCTTTCAACCGTTGCAGAAATGCCTTAATATGCATATCAGTGACCTCAATTAACCTTATTTCTTTGGAGAAGTAATAATTAGAAAATTAAACTTGCTTTTGTACCAATCATACATTTTTTGCATGCTTAATCGCATCTATTCTATGACACTTTTCGCATTCACCTAACTGACTTTTTTCACTGCACTCATATCTTACCAAATTGTGCTTATTATTTAAGCGTATTAAATCTAAGTGAGAGTATTAAACTTTCCATTGTCCAATAGATTGCCATCCATTTTGGAAGATTTGTTTTTATACCGAAATTCCTGTCATACAAAGATGAAAATCCATGTGATATAAACACTTGTCATTCATTGCTTGTAAACATTCGATTTTAGGCCACTTTATGACAGTATCAAAGAAAATTGTGTCGGAAAAAATTAAAAGTGCTGGAAAGTTGTATAGTTAATTGGGGGGACGGATATTTATTACCGTATCTTTGTCCATCCAGGCAACACTAAATACTTGTACTATAAACAACGCAATGCCTGTCACGCATGTATGATAAATTACACTGAAAAACAAGATGGATTAAAAAAGCCGGTATACAGCAAGTTATGAAGCCTTATGAATACGCTGATAGTATTTATGAACAATAAATTCTGTAAAAGTTCATCAGTAGTGTAATACTGTTGAGACTATATATATATATATATATGTTCGCACTAGCAAGTACAAAAACTCAACCATACCATACTTAGCTCGTGTTCTGTACGATAAAGAAAGCATTAGGCGTGATACCTATAACTTATTAAATGGTCAGTAGAACAACTGGATCTCGTCTTTCCAACTCACATCATTTATAGGTACAACGTTTTCTTTCTTTTCCTTTTCTCTCTCTTTTTCTGTTATGTGCTGCTCTGTTTCTTTCTTCCGCTTACGCCAGTAAATATGACAGCACCTGCTTTTCTAACACCTTCAAACACTGTTCAACTTTGGCTTTGCTACCGACATGCCAATATGTTGTTGTCATAATGAACTGAGATTTCCCTTAGTCTATGTAGAATTTTATTTATTGTTAATGTACTAACTGGATGCAATACTGTAGTGAAATGCTGAGAATTCCATTCTGTATCACAATCATTGTTTTGGAATAAAGCAAATTATTATTATTATTATTTGAATTCAAATTTCAAGATTGCAGGATATGCGCAAGTTCAATGCCTAAAGTAAATAAGGAAGTTTGGCTGTAAAGTGTATAAGATTGCAAAACCGCCAGTATGAGGTTCACTCCACGCAACAGATATGAAGGAGAACGTAAATTAAATGGCCTTTAGAGAAATATGATGAACAAACAAAACTTATTGAAGTCGCGTGTTCAAATGCCAATAACACAAAATTTAAAAGGTTATTTCGCCCATTATTACTTCCACCTCATAGAGTAGTGTAATAGTTGTGACGGAGTGAACTTACGTGGGATCAGTCTGTTGGTGAAAATTCTAATGCACCGTATGTAAAAATGCAAGTGATTGTGGCACAAACCAGTAGATATGTTCAGTGATTTTCTTAAGGCACCTTCTTACTACACTATCTCACAGCTCTACCAGAGTCTTCCTTACATGGTAAGGTGTTGTGTTTCAACAGTTGTGTATGGCGAAGGCGCTAGCGATTCGTCAATACAATCTTAAGCTCCGTTTGCAGATTAGGTTTGTTCAGTATTTTATTTTACCATGGTCTTAAACTCCTTTTTACTCGTTTGCTTCTATTGTGCTGGTAATTAATTAACTATTACCACTCTTATGTGTCCATATTGTGCATTTTATTAGCTTTTTTCTCTCACCATCTTTACAATTGTTAAGTGGACACTCAACCACCTTGTTTCTCATCTATGAACAACTTTCATTGCATTAAATTTCAAAGCTTTACGTCTATTATGTCGATAACTATCATGTAATTTTTTCCATGTTCAGAAACTACATCTGAGTAACTGCACTAATTGTGTCACCACCCTGTTAATCAATAACAGACTGCTATGCGTTTTAGTAAATACTTTGCCGCTTTTGTAGATAACTTCGTCGATATAGAAAATTTCCTCCACTGAATTTCCTTGTATTTACTTAATTTTCTCGTGTTTTATTTAGTTTCAACAAAGATTTTACTAATAAAGTATAATGCATTAGTATTTTGGTGTTTATGACCATGAAGAGTTAAAGATCATCCAAGAATTACTGTGCTCAATTCAATTCCAGATATTTGTCCATTATATGTGAATATTGGGTACATAGAGCAAGAGTGGCAATTTCCACATTTGTCTTCTTTTTCATTTCTCCAGGGTAACAACTTCCTATGCAATCTAAATAAATCAGATTATGATACCGTTGTCAAACTAATTCGAGAGGCTATATTAGCTACAGATTTGTCAAGATATTTCTCTAGACTACCTAAATTCCAACAAACTTTAACAAATTTAAAAGAAACCGGTGACGTCTCAATGGATGTGTGGAAAAATGATGGAGAACAGCGTTTATTGCTTGGATGCATGTTCATGACAGCTTGTGATGTATCCGCTATCACAAAACCTTGGCCAGTACAAAAAATGGTAAGTATAGTGTTGAAGCCTTCCTTCTAAGCGTTACTGACTGGTGAGAATGAAATCTCACCAAAGATTTCATCAACTGCTTACTCGCTGTTCTTTTAACTGACCTAAATACTAAAACGTGTTATTTTTGGGTTTTGGTTCACTGTCTTCCCAGTATTATTTAAGTCTTGAAAAATTTCTACTAGTTATTAGTGACAATTCAGCGTGTACTCAGGTGAATCTTATTCTCTGTATTACTGCACACGATTCGAAAAGTCTAGTGTGATAACATTAGTATATTACTTTTTTATACTGAGGTGCATTGAATCAAACAAAGTCAATGAGGTAAAATAGGTCAGAGAATAGCTTACGGTTGAGTAAACCCCACTCCACAGTCTAAATGAAGTGAATAACAGGGAAACTATGGTTCGACACTAAATGTTTTACAACTTTGATTAACTCACTAAACAATACAATAATCATCCCGTGTCCCTAATAATTTATTGTAATTATTCATCTCTACAGGGTAATTAGTTGATGTCAATCTCTTTATAGTTAGTTCATATAGGTTCTTCTCAAGACACCCTTTTAAACGAATGCTAAGCCCTCTATGTGTATGTCTGTTATTATGGTTTGTTTGAAAATGGTTTTTTCATGAAACTACAGTGAAATTATTATTATTGTTTCCTTTAGTTCCTAGAGGAACATAGGGCTTCAGCCGTGCGTCTCCATTGCGTTCGGTTCTCTGCTAGAGTCTTCACCTGGCTCCAAGTCTGCTCACATGCTTTCATCTCCTCTTCACATGACCTCTTCCAAGCCACCCTTGCACTGACGTCCAACTCGCCGCTTCCCTTTCGGGTTCCACTCGAGCAATGGCTTGTCTAATGATGTCACTTGATGGTTCCCTCAGAGTATGGCCAGCCAATCCATCTCTATTTCTTCCTGCCTATTTGTTGCACAATCGGTTCCTGCTGTGTTGGTTCGCTCATTGCCAGAGATCTCTGTTGCTGATCTTTTCTGGCCAGCTATCTGATCTTGAGTATTGAGCGAAGACAACTGTTAATGAAGGTCTGTAGTTTGTTTGAGGTGCTCTTTGTGACACGCAGTGCAAGTCTCTGATCCGTATAGTAGCACTGACTTCACATTGGAGTTGAAAATCCGGATCTTACTTTCGATGCTGAGTGTTGTTGACCTCCACACAGACTTGAGAGTAGTGAAAGCTTGTTTTGCTTTTCCGATTCTTGCTTTGATATCTTCGTCAGTTCCACCTGTGGTTGAGACAATGCTTCCCAGGTAGGTAAAAGAGGTTGTTTCTTTCAGGTTCCTTCCATTTATGCTGATTGTTGTCTGTTGTTGTTGTTGCTGTTGCCCAGGAATCTTCATTAACTCTGTTTTCTCTATGTTCACCTGAAGTCCTATCTTTGATGCTTCTTAAAAACTACAGTGAAAGTCGTTGTAAAATTTATTTTATTGTTTGAAGTGAAATACGGCTTATCTTAAGACATATCTAGAAACAGCTGTTCATTTCTTTGTTTTGATTGGTTAGATTTCCTCGATATTGACCTTTCTTTGGATCAGTTGTTATCCTCGACAGTGATACCTGTTCATTTGTAGTATGTCAAAAAACTTGAAAATATTTAGAGATTCGCAGTTGACCGGCATTTGTGCTTTACTCTGTAAATTAAACCAATCAGTCTTTTTGTGACAGGGCTTTATGCTAGATGGTTTGGAAGAAGATTTGAATGGGTCTTTCTATGATAATCATCTTCTTACGTCCGTTGATCGAAACTCATTCAGTAGGTGTAGAATATTGACACTAAGCTATTAAGTAGTGCAAACTTATCTTGTCTTTGTTGTACAAACAAGTTACTTAGCGTGAATCATGAAATCGCTAAGCAAGTTGCCTCATTTTTAATATTGAGGAGGTTGACATTTATTTATTGATTTGTATGGGCTAGCCTTTCATACAAGAATTGAGGCTGGTGTTGTAGTCTATCTAGGAACTATAAATGCATTTTGTTCCTCTTTCACTCTCCAAAAGTTTCTTGTCCTTATAGTAACCGATAATTGTCTCCACTACATATTTTAAGGCTCTAAAACAATGTAATTCTTGTATACGTAATACTTATTGCTTTTTTACATTTCATTTGAACAGTTAGTGCTTTCATCACAAAATGTTTTGGTCGATTCAGCTTGACGATTTAAATATGTCATGAGTCACATACTTTGAAATTTATCGTGTGTACATAAACACTGGGTAAAATCACAGCTAAAAGTTACACAATTAAGGACTCATTGAATCCGATTCCAAAGTTCTATATACTAATGAACTAAGTTTGATAGGTTAGAATAAGAAATCATAAATTTTTATCAGAATGACCTCATAACTTACTATTTCAAAAGTAATTAACTATTTCAATGAACACAGAAGATGGATGCCGTCATTAGGTGAAGGGCATTAAAAAAATATGTAGTAATTGTCAAGTAATAATAAAGTTATGCGTGGTGCAAGTTCAGATGCTTATGTTGATCGATGAAGTTATGCGGCTAAAGTGGCCAGGACGTTTGCTAAGCTAACCTAGCCAGCGCCTTCCTCAGGGAGTAATATTCACTGAAGGTGAAATGTGACGTTGATCGGTGAGGAAAGTGACTGTTGACGTGAACTGCTTATGCAGCTGTAGGTTGCTCAGTAGGAGCTGTTGAGGCAACAGGAAGTCTTCTCATGATATGACTTAGCATCATTCACCTTTTTACTACTATTGGAATAATGAAACTCGTCATTAATTTTCACTTTTTTATTCTCGCTTACTCACACTCAATGTTTTTTATCGAATGGCCCTCTTTTTCGGATTCTTGACTTCATCGTAGTGTGACTTGAATTAATTTACTTATGTTCAAAGCTCTATGTTGATTCATCAGCCAGTAAGTCGGCTCTAATTTGCTCAGACTAAGATTCGTAGTGAGTAAGGAAATACGATTATCAGAATTGCATTGACGCTCATCTACTGACAAAATTTCGTAATGGTTATTATTATGTGTTTAGTCTTTTACTTTCCTTTTTATTTGTGATGATCGATTTAACGCTTTTAGCATAGTACTTCCATATTTCACTTAATATCTCACCATTATTATATAATGGTATGCATTTTAGCCTGAAGAATCATTCATTACTTTCCTCACCTTTGTATTTTTTTCTTTTCGTATAGACAGCTGAAATGGTAGCAAATGAATTTTTTGAACAAGGTGATTTAGAAAAAGAGCAACTGAATGTAACACCAGCTGTAAGTATGTTTTCCTCTGCTTTTGCTTCAATTTAGTCTGATTGTTGTTTTAACTGAAGCGTATAGATAATCGGGTATGATGATCGAAGCCCAAGTCATTGTCTTCGAATGGTGCTATGTTTGCATTCGTAATCCGTTATTCAGTCAATTAGCAGATCAATCTAATTTGCGAAATATTTGAACATTATAATGTAGTTTAGAATAGAGATGAATTTGTAAGTTGAACAGTTCAACTAAGTTGTTTGCTATTCGGCATATTCATGTCTTTCCATATGATCTGGAATGTCATTAGTTGTTTGCTGACGCCTTATGGATTCTTTACAACTCCGTCTGAATTTATGCAGTGATAGAAAATGTTAAGTAGGTAGTCAACTCATTCTGTTCGCTGGTGTTATAGTCGCTGTTACTGGAAATTATGTAGTATACGTGATAAGGTTTATATAGGCGGAAACGAGATTCGATTAATACGTCTTGACAGTTTTTTCATTTACACGAATATCGTCACTATTTCTGCCCGTAGGTCAATCACTATTAATAGTCTCTTCTTCTTTTTGGATGGTGTTACTGAAAGACAGAGTTTTCTTGAAAAATGTGGCCTATTTCCGTAGTACATTTCGAACGATCTAGCCATTAAGCGTGCGTCAGTGGCACAGCGGTTAGGACGCTCGCCGACCATGCACATGGTTCGCGGTTTGATCCCCCGCCGAAGCATTCCTTTACCTCGACAAACCAGTAATAAAGCTTGTAAAGAGGAAAGCTCGGGCATGAGGCTAGCAACCACATCTCGTAAAAATAAACACCACTGCCACCGTAACTTCAAGCCTCTAGCTTGAAGCTCCATGTTCCACTGGGAATGTGAAGGAATAAAAACACCCACTAAGCAGTGCTTGTAAACTAAATGTATGTGAAAATGAGAGTTTAAATAAAATAGATAATTTAGTAGGGAATTCAAGAGTATGCAGGGAGACGAAGTGATAATTATGATGAAGTCATTTTAATACATCACTAATATGAAGTTGTGGCACGTTTTCTAGGTAGACTCAAATCTGTGGAAAATCACACCAGCCTTACATCAGAGGAAGAAATTAGCAGTTCACTCTCATTTCTAGGCATAATTTTGATTTGAAGAGAAAACGGTTGAATAAAATCGTCGATTTACAAAAAGCCTACTTCGACGCGACATTGTTTGAACTTCTACAGCTGACACTGAATGCAATTGAAGTGAGACTTAATAAAATGTCTGTGTAAGAGAATTGAGCGTATGTGTAGAGTCGATACGGTGAGTATTGACTGATAAGTATACTTCGAGAAAACGAATATGGTTTGGATTTCCTAATCAGTATAGAGGGCGCTTAAGTTGGATAGCCTATAGTTTATCTTGCCCCCCAAAAGCTGTTTATACCAAATAACCAAACAAAAAGGATATAAATAGTATGACTCTAAGATACAGACTAAATCCTGTCGTCTGTATTACGTACTATCCAACACAATCTATAATTATCGAAAAAGCGAAAATTCTGGGCATTAAAAAACTTGATCATTGCGCAGGTAATTACGCTAAATCACATATTGTATGCGAATATTCATTTCTGCGTGTGTGTGGGGGGTGCAGTAATAATTGGGAAGGTTTAATCACGCTTTGCAAATGTGGATAGAGACGTCTACTTAAAATGCTTTGAAAAACAATTTAGTCCCGAAACCTTAATAAACGCAGCTTCGTCTATAACTAATCATGCTGTTGATGTATCAGTAAGATTGGAGTCAAAAGAACTTTCGAGATTAGAATTAGAAATCTAATTGAAAAGGAATACGTCAAAATAAGTCTAAAGTTCATTTTTATAATTTTCATGTTTTCATTTGATAATGTACACAGCCATATAGTACTATTTACTGTGATGATTTGATTGCTGTTGATAACAATAACTACATCACTCTAATTATAATAGAAGCTTTATTCTGAAAAAAATGCATTTATCCAAAACAGAGAATTTTCGGCTAGTTTCATCACAAGGTGCAGAATCTTCAAATTATATACTACTCGATGGGCTCACAACTAGGCCCATTGCTTGGAGATTTCTTCATAGCAAAACTTGAAAACAAATACCTGAAGAAAATGATCGATACCTTCGAATTCTGCAAGAGGTACGTTGACGACACTTTCATTATCGTCAGCACTGAAGAAAATCTAGACGACATCTTAAATTCCTTTAACAGCTGACACCCTGCGATTCAGTTCATTTTATAGAAAGAGTCTAACTCCAAAATATCCTTTCTTGACGGTCAACTAACAACATGAGAGCAGGATGGAACACTGAAAAGATCTATCTACAGAAAGTCGACGTAAAACGTATAGCTTACTAACTGTCACAGTTGGCTACCCTTATTCACCAAGCGAATCCTGATCCGTTCACTCAGCTACAGAGTTCGCAGAATTTGCACCCCGGATGCCATAGAAGACGAAATGGACAATCTCAAGAGAATACTCGTCGAGAATTGTTATCCAGAACGACTTACTGCAGAATCCATGAATCCTAGACCGCAAGAACCACCCATGCTTAGCGTCTCGAAAAATTCCTCTATGTGGACCTTCAGTTCAATGGAGATTTATTTGGGGAAACACTGAAAAAACGACTGTCGCGCTCACTTAAGAAAACTTTCTTCGCAGTTCAAACTACGAGTAACCTTCCCCACGAGGCCTATGATTCGTATGAACGTGAAGGATAAGCTACCACTTCTGGCCTCATCAGTGTTCATCTACCAATTCACCTGCTGGTGTGGAGCCAGTTATGTCGGCCGTATCCAGCGTTCGCTATGCAAACGCATCACCGAACACTTACCAGCATGGTTTTCCAAAGGAGAAAAACGATGCTTCGCAGGTCTATCTTAGAACATCTGATAGATTCTGGACACCAAGCTGCACCTCGAACAAACTTCAAAGTCGTCTACAGAACACGAAGCAGTCTTCGTAAAAGTGTATGAGTCAAGCTTTCCCGAACTGCAGAAGCAATGACAATTGACTTGCTAAGTCCTGAACTCTGCATACAGAAGAATTTCGTTCAATCACTACACTTGCAATGGACGTAGTCTGTCTTAATACCCGACAAGTGAATTCTATTTCTTTCTTTCTGTCTCTTCACTAGTATTATTTTGTCTTTCCAATTGTAATATTTTGCATTTTCAGCTTTCCTGTTCTCTACCCCTATCCAGTTTAATTTCTATACCTCATTAACATTGTTACTGACTTGACCAACTCTCGATTCTCAGTCACTTATGTTACGTCATCCAACTTGTTTGCTCAACTTTAGTCCTGATTTAATTGGCATTATTTTCTACCCCACCTCTACTCAGTCTCTACCTGTAATTATCTCTTTTGCTGTCCTGACCTAAGTTGAAACATTTTAGTCAATTACATTACGTCATCTAACTTACTAACTCAATCTTACTTTCGTTGGTGTCTAATTAACCTTTTTTTAACATTGGATAATTCTTGTATTACCTGATTAATTATCTAAACTTGACAAACCTCATGTACACACACACAAAAATAATTATGTATGTATGCGATTGTACAGCTATGTGAATGAACTCGCCGAAAAGTCTTTTCGCCGGACGTCTTCTCTTCTTCATATGACTCAAAGGGGGATTTTTAGGCTAATCAATAACACATCGTCTAACGCATTACTGTTCCATCCAAAGTATGCTCTAATGCTGCTCCATAATATTCTTCTTCTAGTTTCTTCGAAAAACTCTAGCTGTAGTTGAAAGCTTATTTGAAGTTGTGTGCGAGTATAGTTAGCGGCTCATTAGTGGGTAACCAGGAGATTGAAACAACTTGAAACGGAATAAAGACGATGCATGTTGATGAGTAGAAAATTTAGGTAGTCCAGTGATTCAAGCAGACTGCCGACTTTTCTTTTGTTAATTTAAAAAGAGTGTGGCGAAACTGTTGAATGGCACTTACCAACAGTAAACTTTAAGGGAGAAAGTTGAACTTCTGCATTTGTACAAGTGCTTTCAGGAAGGAATTAATGGATTATTTTGTGGTGTGTCAAATAAGATTAAGTTACTAGGGATTACAATTTTCCTTTGCCTAAATAAGAATTCAATGTTTATGGAGTAATCCGTACAAAATGACTGTGTCGTCTTAACACATAATTTCTTCTTCTATGTTTCTGTATCTATTGTTACTTAGTCAAGTTATCCCTCATACTATACGCTTATATGATTCTAATTTATGTGTTTCTATTTCGGTTTTGGTTGAGCTAATTGATTATGTGCGTGTGTGTGTGTGTGGCTAACTTCATTCTAGTAAAATATGGTTCAGCATGCTTCTTCAGAAGACTGGATAATGTGACAGGCAGCGGGCAATGAGGAAACAGGCATAAAATGGACTCACACAAAAACTTGGAAGATCTAAACTTCGCCGATGATACATGTCTGATTTCCCACAAACTGGAAGATATGCAAGCGAAAAGCAACAAGTTGGCAGAAGAAGCATCCAGAGAAGTTAGGACTTCAGGTGAACATAGAGAAAACAGAGGTGATGGAGATTCCTGGCCAACACCACCAACAGCAACAACAACAGCAGACAACAATCATCATGAATGGAAGGAACCTTAAAGAAACAACCTCCTTTACCTACCGAACTGGGAAGCATCGTTTCAACTACAGGCCGACGGAACTGACGAGGATATCAAAGCAAGAATCGGAAAAGCAAGACAAGCTTTCACTACTCTCAAGTCTGTGTGTAGGTCAACAGCACTCAGCATGAAAATGAAAATAAGGTCCGGATTTTCAACTCCAATGTGAAGTCAGTCAGTGCTACTCACTATACGGATCAGAGACTTGCACTGCGCGTCATAAAGAGCATCTCAAACAAACTACAGACCTTCATTAACAGTTGTCTTCGCTCAATATTCAAGATCAGATGGCCAGCCAGAAAAGATCAGCAACAGAGATCTCTGGGAGCGAACCAACCAGGAACCGATTGTGAAGCAAAT